GGTGTCCCGGGGGACTCTGTATTAGCCCCCTGAGCCCCCCCCCCCTTGTCTTTGTCCTTCACTTGGTGGCCCAAAAGCCAGGTACCGGCTCTGAGCATCACCAGCCCGACTCAAGGGCAATGTCAAGTGTCAGTACTTGAGCTTGAATTGGAGTTCCCAGAACGGGGTGAAATTTTCTGGTTTGATGAGTCCTTTAAACAAAACGACTTAAAATACCCCCAAGGGATTGTTAATGGACTCAATGCATTTAGTATTTGGGGATGTAAATACTTAACCCTGTGGACCTGATGGAGTCGGTTTATGCTGGTAGCAAAGTCCAAGGAGATTTGAAGCTGGAAACCGTGTTTCCAATTTCACAGGATCACAGAACCCGGGTGGTTTGTGCTGGAAAGGACCTTAAAGCTCCTCCAGCCCCAACCCCTGCCCCGGGCAGGGACACCTTCCACTAGAGCAGGTTGCTCCAAGCCCCTGTGTCCAACCTGGCCTTGAACACTGCCAGGGATGGGGCAGCCACAGCTCCTCTGGGCACCCTGTGCCAGTGCCTCAGCACCCTCCCAGGGAAGAGCTTCTGCCCCAGAGCTCATCTCAGTCTCCCCTCTGGCAGGTTCAAGCCATTCCCCTTGGCCTGTCCCTGCATCCCTTGTCCAAAGCCCCTCTCCAGGTCTCCTGGAGCCCCTTTAGGCACTGGAACTGCTCTAAGGTCTCCCCAGATAACGAAGGATTCCACCCTTAGGCATCCATGAGCCGTCTCTGACCATGATCTGAGCCCTCTTTGGGATTTTGTCAGTGCATTTCCACCCTCAAAGCAAACAGGGTGAAGTGAAGGTGGGGCTGGCAGCATCTCGCTGCAGATGCTCATGGAGATCCCCATCGGGATCTCAGCAGGGAAGGTCTGGCAGCTCCTCAGCCTGCACAAGCATTGCCCTGGTTTACTGCTCTTCACACAAAGCATTTTATATGGGGCATTACCTGGTTGTGCTCAGCTGCTCCTAAACCCACTGGTGGTCTTGGGGCGTCACAGATGTTCATGTGGAACCTGAAATCTTCATTCCTTGGTGATGACTGCCATGGAACAGGCTTGAGTCTTCATCTCCAGTTGAGCAGGTTGCTGTTTGTTGCCCACAGCAATGGGATGAGCTCCATTGAAACAGGGTAGACTCAAAATGCTGCAAAGTGTTGGTGTTAGGTCCATGGCTGTGGTGTTACTGCAGGTGTTGCTGATGAGTGATAGTCCAGGTGCTCTCCAACTTGGATAATTACACCTTGACAGTCTGCACATCACTTCATTTACACACTTCATCCTTCTTGCCTTGATTTGTTGTATAAAGCTGTGTCCTCTTCAATGCAATACTCCCAACTACTCATGTTCCATGCTCCCAACAGTCACAGCAGCTTCCAGTGGCGTACCTAATCTCAAGTGGTTCTTGAGGTAGAAGTGGTACCTGTTACTTGAAGTGTCATTTTTGCTTTGTGCGTTTCATAGAGCAAACAGGGAACATCTCAACCTGGTCACCACAACAAATTGGGAGATAGGTTGGTGTCTGCATCAGCTCTGCAGATGTTGGGTGGCCTTAATGGGGCTTCTCTTGCAATGAATAACCTTTATCATTAGATGAGTCGGTGTGTAAAGGCTTTCTGACTTGTGTGGTTAAAAGAGGAGCTTTGAGGTGTCTGAGAGACAAGTCTGTGGGTGCTGCACCTCGTGGATGCAACTAATAGTCAACTGAGCATACCCTGTCCCTGTGGGATGGTGATTCAGCCTGCACCCGAGATGGTGTCAGTGTCACATGAAGGCTTTGGGATGTTGGACTGGCCATCTGAGACTGTCTTCACCTGATTGAAGTATCCGTGTCTCTGAACAGATCCAGTTTGCTGACCAAAAGCAGGAATTCAACAAGCGCCCGACGAAGATCGGCCGCCGCTCGCTGTCCCGCTCCATCTCCCAGAGCTCCACAGACAGCTACAGCTCAGGTGGGTGCCACTGCCTCTGGTGACAGCACCTCTGCTGCCCACGGGGCCCATCCTGCCCATTGCTCCAGGCTCAACCACAGCTGCTGTGTAGGTGGTGGTGGAGGGAAGGTGTGGAACAAGGGTTGTTGCTTTGTTCCTTCATCTTCATGTGTAGTTGGATAGAAAATTGAGTTACTCAGATGCTCTAAACATCTCTGACCTCTCCTTGTAACCCTCAAGTGCAGTTGCTGCTGCTTTTTCTTCTCTCTTCCCCTTCCTTTTCCTTCCAGGCACAACATAACAGTGTTTCCATTGTCTTTGTGCTTCCATCTCATCTTCCCTTCCCGTTCTTGAATAAACCCATGCGAATCCCATGTGGATTTAGGTTTAAAGTCACACGTTGCATGTGAAATTGGAGTCTTCAGAAGAGCAATGATGACCTTTGAAGGCCACACACACGTGTGTCCTGCTACATGAAGAACATGCTAGATGAGGACCCACAAGCTTCTCACGTTTTCAGGTTTAGAAGAACAAAGGCAACTGGTGAGCAAGTCATGGCTGTCAGGTCCCTCTGCTCCTGGCAGAGGCAGGAGCTGCAACTGCTGGAGGCTGTGATCTGATCCTGGGCACAGGAGCAGGGAAAACCACACGCACAGTCCCATGGCTTCACCATGGCTCCTGTGGAACAAGTGACTGTTCTTTGTCTCCTTTCCCAGCTTTTGGGTTGCTGCTTCTTCTCCTTTCACTCAGCCTTGCACGCTTGGAGGAACCTCCAGAGGCTTGGAGGAGCCCCCCAAGGTTGGGAACAAGATGGGTCACCCCTGAGGTGGGTTCATTCCCACCCAAAGGGCTTTTAGGAGTAATCGAGGAACGTGCATATCGTGTCCTCTCCAGAGAGACATCAGCCTGGGCTCCGTTTGCACTTTATAATCCACGTGGGTTATAGTTGTTATATTATTGTCTTGGGTAGCCTGTTTCAAGCTGGAGTTCATGGTTAGACTTCTCTAACAAAGTCTGGGATTGCTATAACATTCCTGGAGGCTTTCCAGCTCCATTTGGTATCTCATCAGCAGGACATGGTTGAAGACTGTCATGTTTGAAGGCTGATTAGTCTGCTTCATGTCATCGTGTTTGCTCCCAATTCACAGCTGGAAGAACTTGGAGCAACTCTGGGGAATTCTCCACCCCCTGCACTTGGCATCTCCTACTGATGTATCAGCAATTGCAGTTAATTACCTCCCGAAAGTGTAATCTCTCCGTCCTAATGAAGCTGCTAGGCTGGCAGTCAGGATGGAAGACTCCTGGTCCCACAGCAGTTGTGGGATGGGTGGATAAATCCCGTTAGTACCTCTTGGCATGGATCTTTGTCATTCTCCTTTTAGGACTGAGCAGTAGCACAGTCAGAACAAGACATTAAACCCTCCTGGGATGGCAAAAGGTTGGGAAAAAAGCGTGAGGAGCAGAGATATGATAATGGAGGGGAAGAGTCCAACCATTCCCAGCCCTGCCAAGGCCACCACTGACCCCTGGCACCGAGGCCTCGGCTCCACGGGCTGGGTACACTTGCAGGGACGGTGACTCCACCACTGCCCTGGGCAGCCTGTTGCCTCTGGGCAAGGAACTGTTCCTCAGCTCCAGCTAAACCTGCCCTGGGGCAGCTTGAGGCCGGTTCCTCTTGTGCCATCCCTTGTTCCTTGGGAGCAGAGACCAGCCCCCTCCTGGCTCCATCCTCCTGTCAGGCAGTTGCAGAGAGTGATCAGGTCCCCCCTGAGCCTTCTCTTCTCCACACTAAACCCCCCAGGTCCCTCAGCCCTTCCCCATCCCACTTGTGCTCCAGGCCCTGCTCCAGCTCCGGTGCCCTTCTCTGGACACACAGGAGGTGTGTGGAGGTCCCAATCTTTGGATGCAGTGAGCATGAGTGAAGAAGTGAGAAAACCCAAGCAACTCCCAAAATGATGGGGAGGTGCAGTTTTGGCGATGCAGGGGAGGCCGGGGTGTGGAAACAGCATCTCTACAAACAGCCCACGGTCTCTTGCTCTTCCTGCCCATCAAATCTGGAAAACTTCAACCAAATCATCAGCTGGTCTCCAAAACACGTACAGTCCATGGAGCTGTGGTGTGAGCAGTGTGCTCCAGGATGCTTCGTGTGGCGAATGGGGCTGTGCTAGAAGCAATAATGGGAGAAGTGAGGTTGGTGAGACACTGGAAGACCCTGGGTTGTCCACAGAGGTGGTAGATGCCCCATCCCTGGCAGTGTTCAAGGCCAGGTTGGACACAGGGGCTTGGAGCAACCTGCTCTAGTGGAAGGTGTCCCTGCCTGGGGCAGGGGCTGGACCTGGAGGAGCTTTAAGCTCCTGTTCATTTGTAACCATTCTAGGATTCCAAGATACTCTGCATTCTGCTGGGGGATTGTGAGCCCAAACTGGGTATGTGGTTTGCAAGGCTGGGTTTGCCCATGCTGTTGAGGATGGAGTCTCTGCAGAGGAATTCCAGCAATGCCTTATTCTCCTCCCTGAGCGGATTATGACCTGAGCAGGTCCCTTGGAGCGTGGCACACCTACAGCAGCAACGCTAAGCTGTTGTTCCTTGGGATCAGTCCAGTGCTTCAAGCAAGCCAGAAGAGAAGGTAATCGGCTTGGTGGGTGCTGTGGGAATGATAAACCCATGGCCATGCTGGGGGAAGGGTCTGGGGTTCTCTGGTGTCAAAATGGCACCAGAGCCATTGAAAGATGGGTAGAGGAGTGGTCTGCCCCTACTCCGGGTCTCTTGGTACCAGATGTGAGGTCTGGATGCCCCTGGAGAGCTGCAGCTCTTTGGGAGCGCTGGTGGGTGGTGGTAGGATCATGGGTCCTAACCATGAGTCCGTGCTATTCTTCCCATGCTCTCCCTGCCTGCTAATTCCTTTGGCACAGAACTGGGGTAGCAAGCTGGGAATCTCTACTGCCTGATGAGTACAGCAACTCCCTTGGGTGTTCTGTGTGGATCATTCCCTCCTGGAGGCTGCCTGGGAATGGAGCTTGCTCACACATGCAGCGACCTGAGGCCAGTAGCTGTTGAGTTTGGCGCTGCACCGTTTCCTGGGTGAAGAGTCAACCAGTTCTTGTCTGGTGCTGTGGGAGAAGGAGAGATCATCATCATCTGCACCTCACTTGGTAGTGGTGGGTAGTGTTGGCTGCCTCCACTGATAGTGCTGCTTTACAAAGGTGGTCCTCTTCTGCTGTGGCAAATTGATGCCATGTCTCGTGTTCAGTTTAGAAGTACCACATGGTGCAGAGAGTAAAGACCTGGAGTAGAACTTCAGGGCAGTTTCAGGAGGAATGAGGGGTGATCGTGTAGACAAGGCTTTGAGTTGGGATGAAACATCCAAGGGCTGGATTGAGCTGCCTGTAGATGTGCAGAGATGCTGGTTGGAAGGAACCACCAAGGTCGTCTCTGCCCACTCAGAGCAGGACATTGCCAGCACATCATCAGCTGGGCCATGGCTCCCTCTATCCAATTCCTCAGGTCCTCCAAGGCTGCAGAGCCATCACCTCTCCAGGCAACCTGTGCCAATGTGTTGTCCTCCTCATGAAGAGGTTTCTTCCCACCATCCTGTGTGAGCCTCCAGAGCAGCAACTTGTGACCATTTGAGAAGCATTGAAATCGAGCAAATCGAAGGACTGGGAATGCCACCATGCTTTGGGAGTACTCAAAACATGAACAGGCATTATTGATGGCTATCTTCGAGCTGTAAAGGTTTAACATCTGGGAAGGGAGATGGGAGAAGGCCACAGAGGAGCTGCAGAGCATGAGGAGATGAACCCATGGAGGACATGGGCAGTGCTCAATTTAATTACCTCTGGTGTGGTGTTGAGATAGATGAGGGTGAAGAACTCACTGCAGGTAAAAGCTGACTGTGAAGATACGTTCATTGTAAGGAGGAGGGGGGATCCCAGCTGAGGATGGAGGGACCTGCCACGTGCACATGGAGAAGAACATCCATTGCTGCATTCAGCAGATCTCAGTGTCCTTCCTGCTTTAGGGAAGATTGTGTTCTGTTGCTGACCTCCTTTTCCTCCTCCAGCTGCCTCCTACACAGACAGCTCTGATGATGAGACCTCCCCCCGGGACAAGCAGCAGAAGAACTCCAAAGGCAGCAGTGATTTCTGTGTGAAGAACATCAAACAGGCGGAGTTTGGGCGCCGGGAGATTGAAATCGCTGAGCAAGGTAAAGGGGACATGTGCCTCAAGCTCCACCTTGTCCTCCACGGTCCTGTGGGGTTCCTCCTGCCCCCAAACCCTCTTCTTGTGAGGTTCAGTGTATTGGTGATTCCTTGACACCGTTCCTGGGGGAGATGGGAAACTTTGATAGGATTTTGAGGGATGGGAAGGAGTTGCAGGGTTATGTCATGTAGCTCCAACCAACCAGCTCCTGAAAGACACCCTATAGTCAAATACATGTTGTCAAAATCAGCAGAGAAGATGAAATCCATCACATAGATTTCATTTAAAATAGTGGTCTCCAAAAATCCATAGCAAAGGCAATGCAAGTTGAGGAAGCTGGAGGGCAAGGAGTGATGTTTCTTCTGTGCTCATCCCTCTTCCCATCCCGCTGATGGACTTCCTTTGTTTTCCCTTTCAGAAATGCCTGCTCTGATGGCTTTGAGGAAGAGAGCTCAGGGAGAGAAGCCTCTGGCTGGTGCCAAGATCGTGGGCTGCACACACATTACAGCACAGACGGCTGTAAGACCCCATCCATGAACTCCAGACAGGGATTTCCCACTGCAGCTTCTCCAAAATAGACCCCAAGTGGTTCAGAGGGAGATGAGGTCTCTGAGTCCAGCCCCTTACACCACGTAAAAGAGAATGGTTAATTATGTGAATGTTTCTAAGCTTAAAGGTGATGTAAAGCTTGTTCAGCCTGGACAAGAGAAAGCTCCTGAAGGGGACACCTTAGAGCAGCTCCAGTGCCTAAAGGGGCTCCAGGAGAGCTGGAGAGGGGCTTTGGACAAGGGATGTAGGGACAGGCCAAGGGGAATGGCTTGAGCCTGCCAAAGGGGAGATTGAGATGAGCTCTTGGGCAGAAGCTGTTCCCTGTGAGGGTGCTGAGGCGCTGGCACAGGGTGCCCAGAGAAGCTGTGGCTGCCCCATCCCTGGCAGTGTTCAAGGCCAGGTTGGACACAGGGGCTTGGAGCAACCTGCTCTAGTGGAAGGTGTCCCTGCCCGGAGCAGGGGTTGGAGCTGGATGATCCCTTCCAACCCAAACCATCCCATGATTCTATGTATCTATAGGCATTGCTTGAGTAGTGATAACTAAGGAAATCAAATTAGCTGTATCCTACAAGCAGGAAGAGGTGATGGTCCATGGTGAGTGCAGATACACAATTCAAGACCTGTGGTTTTTCCTCCAACAGGATTGCTTTCTCCTGACTGGATTTGGAGCTTTGATGATTGAAATCCACATATATATATATATATATACACACACTTATATTCACCCACGCACACATATATGCTGCATGTATAGCCCATATATATGCTACATCGAGCACTGCATAGAGCATACTTTGAATTCTGACTTACTTCATCCAGTTAGAACTGTAAAAAAAGGGAAGTAATGGCATAAATGTTCCCTGTGCAACTCTTAACAACCCTGATGCTGCTTAAACCCAACTGTGGATCCTCCCCAGGAGCTCTCCCATAAATACCAAACAGAAATCCCAGCTGTGTGTTGCTCTGGGATCTATGTATTGCTCTTTACATTGTTCTTTCTGCTTTGTTCTGTTTAAATCCAGGTCCTGATGGAGACTCTTGGTGCGTTGGGTGCTCAGTGCCGATGGGCTGCCTGCAACATCTACTCTACCCTCAATGAAGTGGCTGCTGCCCTTGCTGAGAGCGGTAGGAAATGTCTCCTTCTTGGGTCTTCCTGGGTTTAAAAGGATTTCTTCCTGCCCCATCATATTTATCATTCATTTATCAGTGCTTAAATTCTTTTTCCCTTCATTTTAATTGATTTAGAATAAAGCTGTAGGGGGTAGAAAGCTCAAGATCAATCCCTTCCAGATGGTCCTTACAGACCATCCTGGCCTGGAAAGCTTAGAATGACTTTTATCTGGAGTATAAGAATACAGAGTAGAAATGATGGTGATGCACATTATCTGCTGAATGGGTTGTGTGGAACCTGGAAGTTCTTTTGCTAGGAGAAACAAAGCTCAATTTGATTTCAGTTCTACCCATTTGAGCCAGAACTTCGGCTAAAAGGGGTGAAAGAGAGAGTTTTTAGGGGATGTAAAGCACAAAACAAGCTGTCCCTGTTGCTGCTCACCTCAGAGGTGCCTTAATCCAAATCCTGGTTTATCTGGGTCAGGCCAGGGGTTTTACCATGAGAACTGGACTGCCAGAAGAAGCCAAAGCCACCAGCTTCCATGTCTTGCTCATTGAAGCTGAATAATTGCTCATGAGTTAGAATACATTAAAATTAACCTGTGGGTAACAAGCCTAACAGGAAGGTAAAACATCTAACTTGCAGTGAAAGCTTGAGCTGCAAACAGATAGAGTCATAGAATGGTTTGGCTCCTCCAGCTCCAACCCCTGCCCCGGGCAGGGACACCTTCCACTAGAGCAGGTTGCTCCAAGCCCCTGTGTCCAACCTGCCCTTGAACACTGCCAGGGATGGGGCAGCCACAGCTCCTCTGGGCAGCTGTTATCACTGAGAGCGTGTTGTCCTCTCAGCTGGTGGCCAGAACTGTTCCTTGGGGGAGAGGAAGACATTTAGGAAGGGCAAAGCTGGCTCCTCTCTGCTGCCTTCGGTGTGTGTCTCCAATGTGTGTCTCTGAAGCTTCTTCTAGAAGGTAGATGTTGAAAGCAAGAACCACAGTCGGGAGCCTGGTTCCTCACATGTGGACATAGGGGAGAGCTGATCCCACGGGATTTGCTAAGGCTGTGTTAGCACCCATCTCCCTCTCTGTGCCAGGGTTCCCTGTCTTTGCCTGGAAGGGAGAATCTGAAGATGACTTCTGGTGGTGCATCGACCGCTGCGTCAACGTCGAAGGATGGCAGCCCAACATGGTGAGACGAGGCTTTGAACCATGGGTAGCTCTCATCTAAAGAGGACGAGGAGGGTTTAGTGCTGGTCTAGACCTGAATCTAGACCTAACTTAGCAGTTAAGGCTTGGTTCTAACACAGCACTTACCTTCAAAGTGCTTTACAGATAACCATGCAGTTGGGAGATAAACTTATCTCAGCTGAAGGTGGGTTCAACAACTCCTGCTTGTGGATCTTGCCTATCAAGCAAGGTTTTGTTGCACTGCTTTATACACAAGCACAGCTGTGTTAGTGCGAAGCTTATTTTGCATCCTGTGTCAACCAAATTTGTTTAATCTAAACCAGCTCAAACTCAGTGTGTTCTGAAAAGAGCTTGAATCCTTTTCACGACATTCCATTAAATTCACAGCTTTGCTTGAGGTGATTTTCCTTAAGGCCTCTGTTTGTGAGCAGAAATTAGATTTTGAGGTGATCTCTACACTTTAAGCCTGCTCTTACCATACAAACACAAAGCCTCGAGTAGCCCAATTCTGTACTTTGCTGCTTGATCCTGCCCTTGTCTCTAGGAAAACCGGGGAGAAGTGGGTGAGTGGAGGAATCTGCAGCAGTCAATGTGTTGTTTTCATCGTGCTTCCTGCCAGGTTTTGAGCCTTATGACCTACATTAGATGAAAAGTACTCAAAGGTGGAAGACAGGGGGTATCTGTATGGTTCGTTTGTCAAAATCAGCTTGTTTGAGGTGGGGTTTTTGTCCTTTCCACCTTCTCACTTCCTCAGTGTGAATGTCAGGAAATCCACCCCCAAGCTAAAAACCTGAGTCTAGACAGAACAGCAGCTTTCTTCTTCTTTTTGAGGAGTAATTTCCCATCAAAAAAGACAGTAATTGAAGAAGTCAATGTTCCAGAATACATATATTACACATTTATAGCATCTCTTCAGACCTCTTGACTCTGGGACCTGTCTTCAGCCATCAGTGTATTTTCAGACCTGCTTCTGGAGCATAGAAGATGGGGAGCACGAAAGACCTTGGATCTAGCAGGTCCCAAAGATTTGCACACTGGGTATTGGAGGTGCCCACTGTTAGATTAAGAAATAGGATGTTGGACACTGGGTGAAGAAGAGATGTGGAAAGGATCTTCATATGGTTATCTCAGAAGAGAGGAGCTGGCAAACTTGGATAAAGAAGCAAGGGGAAGTCTGTCTGTCTGGTCCACCTGGTCTCCAGGCTGAAGATGAACCTCCTCTACTCCCTGTGCTGGTGGCAGCTTTTTAGAGCATGGATCAGATTTTTTCTTTCCTGTTGAGACTGAGAACTCCCCCTGAATCAAGGAGATACGTCCCCAGGTTGTAGGACTGAGCCTGAGCTGCTGCTGTTGACAGCCCATGATCTTTCTATAAACCTAAATCTAATCTCTTTTCATAGAGTCATGGAATGGTTTGTGTTGGAAGGGACCTTAAAGCTCCTCCAGCTCCAACCCCTGCCCTGGGCAGGGACACCTTCCACTAGAGCAGGTTGCTCCAAGCCCCTGTGTCCAACCTGGCCTTGAACACTGCCAGGGATGGGGCAGCCACAGCTTCTCTGGGCACCCTGTGCCAGCGCCTCAGCACCCTCACAGGGAACAACTGTCTCTCATCTTCTCTCCTCTTCCTGTCAACAAAATGCCAACAATAACTTACAGCATCACTGATGGTTATTATTGGCCATACAGTGCTTTGAAGGTGTGAGAAGTGGTGCAGTAACATGCCTGTCTCTGTCCAGCATGATAGAATCAGTTTGGACTTCTATAAAGCATGGAGTAATTGAGAACATAAATGTCCAACCTGTTCTCATTGATCCCAGGTGAAAGTGGCATGAAAATACATCTCCATTTCCAGGCTCCATCTTTAAGCTCAATAAAAAGAAGGACAATCTCTAATTCTCCTTAAGAGAAAGCAGAGCCATGGAATCACAGAATGGTTTGGGATGGAAGGGACCTTGAAGATCATCTGGTTGTTGTTCAGCAGCTTGCTGTAAGCCAGGTTGATATAATATCAGGGCTTGACATACACCCAAGGAGCCCTGTTGAGCATTGCTTTGCTGGGCCCCACCAGTCCCGTGTCCAGAGCATGGTGGAGCTGACCTTCCACATCCATGTAGAAAAATAGAGATGTCTCACAGCCGAAACCCTGGAATATTCCATGGTAGGGCTTCTGTGTGGTGCTTGTCCATGGGAACAGTTATCCACAAATACTGAGAGTGCCCAGGAAAAGTCACCTTGGGTTTCCTGAGGGGATTACAGACCTCCAGAGGAAGCAGATTCCTGTCTGTGTGGATGGGAATGGCTCAGAGTTGGGTTTCTGGGAATCCAGAGTTTGGTTTCCTTTGCAGCATAAACTGATGCAGGGGATTTTGATGCCGCCTCCGTCCAGGTCTTCCTGCATCTCCTTGTGTTTTCACCAGTCATTTTCTGTACCAGGTTATTTTCAACCATGCTGCTGAGCTAATCCCAGCTAATTTTAATCAGCTTGGGTTTGGTAAGATCAACCACATGGTGCTGGCTGTTGCCCCAGCAGACTTGGAAGGGGGACAGGGTGAGACGTTTGGTGGCAGCGGAGTCTTAGATGGGTTCAAGGAGGTTGTAAATGGCACCCTGGGACACCAGTTGTTTTCATGGAAGAGCCACAGATGTTCTGCTGGAGAAAACATCACAGCCCTTCTGTGCTGTGTGAAACTGGTGACTTGGAGGGAAAAGCATTGAGAGGAACATCTACCAAGGAGATCCGGAGACACCAAATCAGTTATAAGTCACATCAGTTCAGGGTGAGCACTGCTGTGGAGGAGCAGGACTAGATACCTCCTGGTGCTGGGTCAGAGGATGGTCCCATCTCCAAGAGAGATGTCCCTGCAGCCCTGGGGTGAAAGGAGGATGTTTTTACGTGTGTGCTGACTCCAGCGTGTTCTGCTCCCAGCTGGAAGTGCCAAAAACAAGAGGGCGGTTGATGAACCACCGCCGGGAGCGTTGGTTTGCAGATGGTGCCTCTCAGGGTGGGTGTCAGGCAGCAGCACCCGGAGGCAGAGCAAAGCCCACGTCTGAAACTGCTGCTTTTCTGCACAAAATACTCTTTGCGCTTCAAATAAGTGGTTTTATCCCCAAAAGACTCTGCCTGGGAAGATCTGGAATGAAGGGGATTTGCCTTTGGCTGTTCAGGACTGCTACATGAAGGTGACCTTCCATCCCAGACTGATTCCTGCACTGGTTTGGGTTGTCCTGCCCTCCTAGGAAAGAGGAAACTGCCAACCCCTGAATTCTCTTTTGGAAGGAGGATTATGAGCCCCATTAAATGGGGATTAATGAAATGAAGACGTCCTGGGAGCCAGGTGCTGAGTTCCTACCCAAGAGAGCTGCTCAGCTCCTCTTAACCCTTCCCTGCCTCCACTTCCCAGCCTGTGAACAGGGGTGGATCTGGGGGTTCCTGGAGACTCAGGGGTGGGTCTGTGTGGAAGAGTCATGCTCTGCTCTGGCAGGAGACCACGTGTTCTCCAGACACTTGTGGAGAAGCAGCTGGAACCCACAGCATGTGCCTTCAGTGGAAAGTCCTGCAATTTAGAGAGAAGGTTGTCATGGTATAAAGCATTCCCATCCTGTCCATGGATGAAGTTCGTGAAACCAGCACATCATAGAATCATGGAATGGTTTGGGTTGGAAGGGACCTTAAAGCTCCCCCAGCTCCAACCCCTGCCCCGGGCAGGGACACCTTCCACTAGAGCAGGTTGCTCCAAGCCCCTGTGTCCAACCTGGCCTTGAACACTGCCAGGGATGGGGCAGCCACAGCTCCTCTGGGCACCCTGAGCCAGGTCCTCAGCACCCTCCCAGGGAAGAGCTTCTGCCTTATCTCCAACCTGAACTTCCCCTGTTTCAGTTTGAACCCATCACCCCTTGTCCTGTCACTCCAGTCCCTGATGAAGAGTCCCTCTCCAGGTTTCCAAAGCTCAGGAACATCCTCTTAATGCCCACAGTGGGGCTTCTACTGCAGGAGCATGGTGGGAGCGTTAATGTTTCCTGGGTGGCTGCAGATGCTGGTGAGAGAGCTGCAGACAAGGGCTGTAGAGGGTCCTGCTGAGCTCCACCATCAGCCAACCAGCAGAGGTGCTTCTGGCCAGGTTTGATGTTTGCATTTTCGGGGACACACAACACACCAGTGGGTTAATAAGGGCTGGTGTGGAAGTCAGAAGTCTTGAACGTTGGTGTAGGGGACATGAAAAGAGGAGGAGGAAGAGGAGGAGGAGGAGGGTGCAGTCAGAAGTCTTTGACATTGGTGTAGGGA